AACAATGGATGAAGCAGGTTAGCAATATGAGTAATTCAGTATATTTTATTTTATTGTATTTTCATAAACTAAACTAATAATCTATTTTTCTCTTAGCTACATAATAGGATTTATTATTTAAAGCATTCATTAATGATACCAAGTAATGTAAAATTCACTGTTGTCTTGAAATTGAGGTGCTTAAATCTATTATTTTGGCTATTTTTAATTAAATAATTGTATATATTTTTGTATAAATAATGTCCTTTCTTTTTTTAAAATATTTTGTTTATTTGACAGAGAGAGAGATCACAAGTAGGCAGAGAGGCAGGCAGAGAGAGAGGGGGAAGCAGGCTACCTGCTGAGCTAAGAGCCCAATGTGGGGCTCTATCCCAGGACCCTAGGATCATGACCCAAGCCGAAGGCAGAGGCTCTACCCACTGAGCCCAGGCACCCCAATAATGTCCTTGCTTAAATGTAAAAAACATAGACTCAGTCTTTTGGCATGTTACTTTAATAAATCTATGCCAGGCAGTAAAAAGTCACAGCAAAAATTACTCCAATTGTTTCCCTTTCCTTGAACGATCCTAGTTATACATGTGTTTAACTTTTGATGTTATCACATTGATCTCTTTTAAAAATTATATTTGCTCCTCATCTCTGATCGGATTATTACTCTCTTCAATCCAGAGCATTTAGAGCTACACAAACTAAATTTTTACATATTTCCTCAGGAGAAGCCACAAAATGATAATGGTTGTAATTAAGGGAAGAGCCTCAAAAACATAGGGCAGAGTAACAGTTTTTAAATGTTAAAGATTTATTTTATCCATAAGTTTACACCCATTAATTGCCAGGAAACAAAATTCCAAATCTAGAAACTAAACAGGCTATCTTGTCAAACCTTGACAATCCCTTTCAAATTTCTCCAATTCCAAAAGAGATAGCCTTTACATATGTCCATATAACACACTGGGTGAGAACACTGGGGTCCTCGATCAGTAACAACTGATTGCAACTTGATTTCAAAACAGGAAATACATCTTGCAGAAAAAAAAAACTACTCTTGTTTAGGGAGCATACGTGACCCATATTGAATTTTCAAAAAACTGTTTGAAAATGCAAATATCTTTGATGTATATTATCAAACTGGTTAAGTCAGATTATATTTCTGATTCCTGGTTATTTCATTGGGTGGAAGGAAGAAGACAGTTATAGGGCACAGTTTTTGGAAAATGACTTTTATTGAATATTTGGTAAAGTAAATATAAAGAGATCACAACAGCCAGAACATCATGAGGTTAGGCTATATTTTAAGGATTTTCAGGCATTATATTATTGATCCTTAATTCAGTCCTATGAGGTGGCTACAGTTATCATCATGTAACAGGAGATGGCACAGATAGATCAAGTTCTTAAGTCAAAATGACTGAGATCTAGTGAATATACAAGGTAGCCTGTTCTTCTAAGAATAAAATATGGAAAAAAGATCTGAGCTGAATTTGTAGCCTGGAGCCAAATCCATATATGCCCAGCCCCAATCAACTAAAACGCAGCTAAACCACAAGCTGGTGAATGAGAAATAAGTGCTTCCTTTTAAACCTCAATGAAATCCTGTATTGTTTGTAACACAACTTCAGCAATTAGTTATAGCTACTGCTTAAATATTATATGAAATTGACTTAGAATATTCACATAACTTCTCTATATAATCATGAGGAATAAATACAAAGAATATAAAGGATATGTCTTCAAAGAGCTAAATATATATAAAATATGAATTTATTTTGCAAATAATTATCGAGTTTAATCTCTCTCCCTGTTATCATTGAATTAGGGTAGAAATATCTTTGCATCATTATCAAATCAGTAATGTCTGTCCTGAATTCTGGCAATAACTAGCTGTTTGCTCTGCACAAATACCTTTATGCTTTTAATTCTTGTTTTCTTCACTACTTAAAATTCATTTTCACTTCAAAGTATTTTTTAGCATGGTAGTAAATAATAACAGAGGTGGTGATGTGAAGAATTTAATAAAACAAGATCTCTTCCAATATATCTGGAATTCAGATGAGGAAAACAAAACACAAGAAAGAGTATCAAAGGACACTGATTATTATTCCGTGAAACACCTATCTCTACCAAATAATGTACCAAACCTTTCACAGTGCTGCACTAAAATGGATTCTGAAGATAAATTTGGTTCCATTCTCAGAGGACGTGGGGCAGTGGGAATGGCTCTTACAGAGCAACTCTGTGGTTGTTGCATGATAATCCTGAGTACCTGTTAACAATTTAGTACTCTCAGCTCCAAATGTGTCCCTCAGTGCCCTGGGTTCTCAGGTAATGAAACTAGGTGCTATAAACATTTACTCCTGTTAGCTCACATGAGGTTGAGTTATATGGATAAAAGGCAATGGAACAAACAATCCTAAAATTTGTATGGGACCTGAAAAGACCCTGAATTACCAGAGGAATGTTGAAAAAGAAAACGAAAGCTGAGGGCATCACAATGCCTGACTTCAAGCTCTATTACAAAGGTGTGATCATCAAGACAGCATGGTATTGGCACAACAACAGACACATAGATGAATGAAACAGAATAGAGAGCCCAGAAATGGTCCTCCCACTTTATGGCCAACTAATCTTCGACAAATCAGGAAAGAATATCCAGTGGGAAAAAAGTCTCTTCAATAAATGGTACAGGGAAAATTGTCAGCCATAGAGAGAAGAACCTCTTACACCATACACAAAGATAAACTCAAAATGGATGAAAGACCTCAATGTGAGACAGGAATCCATCAAAATCCTAGAGGAGGGGGCGCCTGGGTGACTCAGTGGGTTAAGCCTCTGCCTTTGGCTCGGGTCATGATCTCAGGGTCCTGGGATCGAGCCCTGCATCAGGCTCTCTGCTCAGCAGGGAGTCTGCTTCCCCTCTCTCTCTCTGTCTGCCTCTCTGCCTACTTGTGATCTCTCTCTCTGTGTCAAATAAATAAATAAAAATCTTAAAAAAAAAAATCCTAGAGGAGAACATGGGCAGTAACCTCTCCAACACCAGCCACAGCGACCTCTTAAGACACATCTCTAAAGGCAAGGGAAGCAAAAGGGAACTTTTGGGACTTCATCAAGATAAAAAGCTTTTGCATAGCAAAGGAAACAATTAACAAAACTAAGAGGCATCCCACGGAATGGGAGAAGTTATTTGCAAATGACATATCAGATAAATGGCTGGTACCTAAGATGTATAAAGAACTTTTCACACTCAACACCCCAAAAAGAAATAATGCAGTCATTAAATGGGCAGAAGACATGAACAGACACTTCTCCAAAAAGACATAAACATGACTAACAGGCACATGAAAAAATGTGCAACATCTCTAGCCATCAGGGAAATACAAATCAAAACCATAATGCAATACCACCTTACACGAGTTAGAATGGCAAAAATTAACAAGGCAGGAAACAACAAGTGTTGACAAGCATGTGGAGAAAGGGAAACCCTCCTACATTGTTCATGTGAATGTTAGTCAATGTAGCCACTCTGGAAAACAGTATGGAGGTTCCTTAAGACTTTAAAAACAGAGCTATACCACCACCCAGCAATTAGGTATTTACCCCAAAGATACAGGCTTAATGAAAAGAAGGGGTGCATGCCCCCCAATGCTCATAGCAGCAATGTCCACGATAGCCAGAGTGTGGAAGGAGATGAGATGTCCATCAACAGATGAATGGATTTAGAGAAGATGTAGTCCATATATAAAATGGAATATTACTCAGCCATCAGAAAGGATGAATACCCACCATTAGCACTGACATGGATGGAACTGAAGGGGATTATGTTAAGTAAAATAAGTCAATCAGAGAAAGATAATTATCACATGGTTTCACTCATATGTGGAACATAAGGAATAGCATAGAGGACGATAAGGGAATTGAGGCAAAACTGAATGGGAATAAATCAGAGAGGGAGAAAAACCATGAAGACACTGGACTCTGGGAACCAAACAGGGTTACAGACGGAGGTTGAATGGGGGGATGGGCTAACCTGATGATTAAAAAATAAATAAATAAATCTACAATTTACAAAAAAAAAAAAAAAGGCAATGGAGAAAAACTGCAGCAGAAAGGGCTCTTCTCCCTGATTTCATGGTGTTTTCAGGGTGTTTGGCTGCTACGGCTTGGTTACCAGCTGCATGTATACTGAAGTCCTGTGTATTCAGCCTCCAGCAAATATTGTGGCCAGTCCCAGTCAAAGCTTCCTACCCTCTACTCTGTGCCTTCTAATAGTCTAGCAAGGAATTCTTCCTGCTTGCCAGTCATGTCCCGAGATCCATCCTCACTACAGTCAAGTGTAAACTGTGGAATTGCTCTGTCCCAGGCCAATCCCATGAACATGTCTGCCATGAAGTTGTGTGTGGTCACACTGTCTTCAATGATATCTAAATTTCATCTTCAGAGAAAAGATCTGGCTTCCCAGTGATCTCTCCTTTGAGTACTCTCCTTTAATCCTAATGTATTCTTATAATTTTATCTTAGTAGATTTTTTTCTTAGTAGACTTTCTTTTATAAATAGATAATAATTGTTTGTCTCAAAGTTCCCCTGGTTTCTGTGTCCTGACTCATCTGACTGATAACCCTGTCACCCAGGACTGTTCAACCCTCATTTGTAGCCCTTTAAGGACTAGGGCAAATCAATTCATTTGGAATTATTAATAGAATTATTCACCTTATTGAGAAATTTACAAAAACAGTGCTTAATATTACAATTTATAATTTAAATAGAATTCATCTTAATAAATAGCAAAAGATTAAGAAATATATGATCTATACCTGAGTATTTACTTTTTATATTAGTATGACACCAACATCAAGGTTGAAACCCCAGGTACACTTTGGACTTTGGAAGAATTTGATGCATCATTGCAAGTTCATCCTTGTAACTAATGAATGATTCTAGTGAGTGTTACTGATGATGGGAAATGCGAATATGTGTGCAGACAGAGGCAATTAAGGAAATCTCTGTACTTTTCTCTTAATTTTGCTGTGAACCTAAAATTTCTCTAAAAAAATAACATCTTAAAAATATTCTGAGAAGGCAATTGTATGTCTTTTGGAGAAATGAGAGATAGTTCTTTAGATGGCGACAGAGCATTATCCCCAAATTAGGTAACTTATGTCTGGTGCTTACAAACATATGGTCTTAATTCTAAGCAAGATTCATTAGATACTATCTTTGAACTGAAGATGATAAATGAACAATTCTTGTCACTCTCTGAAGATACTGATGGTCTGAAATACAGAGAATTACATCTCATTAATTTAGTGATAAATACCATAATATTTTGATGAATAAATAATTTATTTTGACTAATAGTTAAGTAACAAATCTAAATATTTCCCTTGTCACTGTTCTGTGAAAACAGTGCGACATTTGTGTTTTCTAGTTGCTCACATATTAATGTTTTTTCTTGTAAGATTAATTCTTTTAAATTATAAAATATAAACATTCTCAGGAAACTTACGTTTTTGAGAAGAAAATTGTGACTTTTGGCCACACAGATGAATTATTATTGATTCTCTGAGAGCCTCTAATCCATGAAGATGGAGTGAAGAAGTTCAACAAATACTGTGAGAAAGCAGATTTTATTAGAAATCAAATAGGAGCTCTTATACTCATTTGAATTTTGTAGTAACAATAAAGTTAATTCTTTCCTTATAGTATCTGTCTATATCTATATTTTTTGTATCACACTGGACACACTAAAAAAAGTATCCTACTAGGACTAAGTAGGAGGAGAAACTGACAAAGATAACAATTTTGGGTTTCTGATAAGTGAAAAAAAGTTTAAAAATTTTGTGAAGTATGTACATTGGGAAAAATCCTAGAGATTCAAGTAAGAAGAAGCACCTTGTGATTTTCTTGTGTAGGACAGCTCCTGTGCCTCCCCCCCACCCCCCATCACCATAGTTCAGTGATCAAGAAGAATTGTAGTTTTTACAGTTGGAGACGCTGCAAGTAGCAATGGTGCTGGTGTCACAGGGGAGACTTGATTAGCAGTTGGGAAGGGGGCAAAGTATTCCATTGATTTTCAAGCTCAAAGTGCTAATTTTGCTCAGTCATGATGAGGAAAAACCTTACTTTTTTTTAGTCAGAGCTTGTGGTCTTTGGGTCAATCGCTCTGATTCCCATAAATATAATGGGAAGACACTGATAGGGAAGGTATGACAGAAGAGTTGACCTGAGCTCTCTACACATTCTTGGCAGATGGAAAAAAAAAAAAAAGTCTGTGCACAGGGAGAGACCAAGATGAACCCACTAGAAAGTAAAAGCGAAAGGAGACTTGAGAACTGCTAGTCAAGTTATGAGCACTCCTCTCCCCCAACACACACACACTCACTCACACACACACAGGCGACTCATGCTCGCATATGCTCTCTCTCTCTGTTTCTCGCTCTTGCAAAAATAAATAAATTTAAAAATCTCTAAAAAATAAGTTAAAAAAATAAATCCACAACTCAGGACATCATACCAAGATGACTGAAGATCACTTGAGAACACAAATACTCTTGAGGGAACAGAGTGAATTAAGAAATGACTTAAGTCAGTATGAAAACAGGGAATGGGTGATATATCTTCCACCTCTATCAGCGTTGAACCACGTTATCTACCACAGAATCTATATCTGCCCTGGACACTATTTCAGACTATGCATAGGAGCTGACCTCAGCAAGACGTAACAGTAGGAAGCCCCAAGCCGTAAATCCCAAAGGAAATAATAATTTAAAGAAACATCCAGACCCAAATAGTTGTATATTTCTTCTAATCATTTTTGCTAAGGTTGCCAAGACTATTCAATAGGGAAAGGACAGTATCTTTCACAAATGGTGATGGGAAACTGACTATCCACATGCAAATGATGAAGTTGGATGCTTGCACTGACACCATAAACTAAAGTTTACTCAAAATGCGCTGAAGACCTAAACGTAAGATGTACAACTATAGGGGTCCTTGGTTGACTTGGTCAGTTGGGCATCTGCCTTTGGTTCAGGTCATGTTCCTGGAGTCCCTGGGTGGAGCTCAGCATTGGGCTCTATGCTCTGTCGGGAGTCTGCTTCTCCCTCTGGCCCTTTATTCTGTTCATTCTCTTTCTCTCTTTCTCTCTCCCAAGTAAATAAATGAAAACCTTTAAAAAAAAGATATAAAGCTATAAAATTCCTTGAAAAGAATGTTGGGGGAAAAAACAACATCATATTTGGAAACGATTTCTTGGATATGACACCAAAAGCACAGACCACAAGAGAAGAGTCCATTGTAGACAAATGGGTTACATCAAACTAAAACATTTCTGTGCATCAAAGGGGTTGATCAACAGAATGAAAAGAAATTTAAAAAAGCAATTTCAAATCATATATCAAACAAGGGATTCATATCTAAAATATATAAGAAATCCTGGAAGTCCGTAACAACAACAAAAACCAAATAACCCAATTAAAAGTGGGTAAAAGAATTAAATAGACTTTTTTTTCCCAAAGAAAATATGTCAGTGGTCAAAAACCATACAAAAAGATGCTCAGTATCACTAATGATCAGAGGAATGCAAATCAAAACCTCAATGAGATATCACCTCATACTCTTAAAAAAAAAAGAGTCAGTGAAGACACTGCAGGAAAAAGAGGACCCTTGTACATGGCTGTTGAAAATGTGAATTGGTCAGCCATTATGAAAAACAATACTGAGATTCTTCAAAAAACTAAAAGTAGAATAACATAAAGAATCAGCAATTCCACATGTAGGAAAATACATGAAAGTATTGAAAGCAAAGTTTCAAAGAGATAATTGTACACCAATGCTCACTGCAGCATTATTCACAAGAGCCAAGTGTTAGAAGCAACTCAAAAGTTGATGGATGAATGGATCAAGAAAACAGTACATACATAACAATGTAATGTTATTCAGCCTTGAAAAGGAAGGAAATCCCATCACATGCTCCAGGACATTATGCTAAAAGAAATAAGCCAGTCGGGCGCGCGCGCACACACACACACACACAAAATGTATGATCCCATTTATGTGAAGTATCTAAAGGAGTGAAACTGATAGATACAGAAGTAGGATGGTGATTACTAAGGCTGGAAGGGAACGTGGAGGAGGGGAATTATTGCTCAAGGAGTATTGAGTTCCAGCTTCACAAGGTGAAAAAGTTCTAGGGATCCATTGGGCTCAATGTGAATATAGTGAGCTCCCTAAGCTGTATGCTTAAAGTTGGTGAAGATGCATGATATAGTTAAATGTAACACAAGATGTGAGATAGTGTATGATTCCCACTATATGCCAGTCTGGAGAAATGAAAACTATAGAGATAGTGAAAAGATCAGTGCTTGACAGGGTTTAGCAGGGAAGGAAGGATGGATAGGTGAAGCGCAGAGGATTTTTAAGGCAGTGAAACTATTCTGTATAACTCCATAATGGTTTAACATGTCATTACATATTTGTCCAAAGTCATAAAATGCACAATATCAAGAGGAAATTTTAAAGTGTACTATGGTCTTTGAGTGATAAAAATGTGTCATTATAGGTTTATCAATTGTAGCAAATAAATAACTCCACTGAGGGATACTGAAAGTGAGAGAGTCTGTGCACTACACATGCATAGATACAGACAGTAGGGGAACACAGGAAATCTCTGTGTCTTCTCTGAGTTTTGCTATAAACCTGAAGCTGCGTAGAAGATAGTCCATTTTTTTTTAATATGGGTAATGTCAATATGATAAATTTTATGTTATGTGGTTTGGTTGCAGGAACTCAACAAAACAAAACAGAAGGCAAACAAACATAAAGAGGTCTTGACAGCAGTGAGAGAAAAACTTGTCATTACATTTAGGAAAATAACAATATGGTCAATAGATGAGTTCTCACCAGAAACAATGAAAAATGAAAGAGAGGGAAGGTCAAATTCAGAGTTGATAGTGCAAAAAACAAAAACAAAAACTTCCTCCCCACACAAAAGAAATCTAAAGCAAAACAAGATAAAACAAAAAGTCTTGTCAAGCAGGAATTATAAATTCAGCAAAACAGTGTCAAAAAAAGAAGGTACATAAGTCCCCATGACAAACATGAAACAAGAGAATTTCATCTTGGTAGACCTGTCTTCCAAAAATATTCTTCAAGCTGAAAATAGATGATGCTAGATTGTAATACAAACCTACAACAATGAATAAAGAACAGCAGAAATGGCAAACCTGTGGTAATTTAATAATCTGTATGTGTATTTTCCTTTTGGAATTGCTTTTGAAGATAAGATTATTTAAAGCCATTGTTATAACACCATACAGTTGGATCTATACCATTTATGGATGCAAACTTGTGTTGGCATACAGGCACATGGTATGGGGGAGGGAGGAAGAAAACATTTTTTTTAAAGTATTTATTAATTTCTGTGGTGCACGTTCCCCAGAAATGCTTCATTTCACATCACCAATGTGAAATCATGAATACAGTGTAGGAAAAGATACGCGTAATTGGTGTTCAAATCAATGCTAGGTGGCTTCAGTATGACATTGTTAGAAGTACAGATTCCCCTCTCTGTTTGGAAGTAGAATGTTCCTATTAAATCTTTCCTGAGCCGAAATGGTGTAAATTGAAGAAGCAATTACCGTTAATTTACATGGAAAAGTTGCTGAGTATTTTCTGATCCAAAAAATAATCTCTTGGGCTGTTCTGATATCTTATGACACATCTTGCTAATGGATGCACAAAATAAATTGAGATGAAGCATAGACTTTCAAAAACATGGTTGAAAGCTATGCTTGATACTGAGATGCTAAGTATATTTTCTGAGGAAGGAGCATGACGGGGCCACTTTAACTGCTTGGGTCATGTGCTGCCTCTATGACAGCAAACCCAGCACTGAACACAATTTTCACTTTTTGCCTCTTGCCTGAAAGCAGAAATCCCCTTCAGAATTCTGTTGCTCAGCAAAAACTGGCACTAACATAGGTCTTTCATAAAACCAAAGTGACATAATGCAATTTTTTGAAAAATTGAGGCCTACCTATAATAGGTGGAAGAAAAAAGTTATGTTAGTGCTAATGTAATATATTTTATAGGAATTTAGTCAGAATTAATTTGAAGAAGATGGCGACCATTTAATATATGTGTGAAGAGTACCATTAGCAAGATGGAACGTTAGGAGGTACCCCACACAAAACAATAAGAACAATCACTAAACAACTTCAAACTAAAAACGTCACAGGGAATGCTGTAGATAACAAAGAATCATCAGTATCCAAAATATAAAGAACTTATAATACTCAACACCCAAAAAACCAAAGGTCCAGTCAAGAAATGGGCAGAAGACATAAATAGATATTTCTCCAAAGAAGACATACAAATGGCCACAGACACATGAAAAAATGCTCAATATCATTTGGCATCAGAGAAATACAAATCAAAACCAAAATATACCCACATATATATGGGATGGAGATTTCAAGAAGGATGAAAAGTCAGTTAGTGGAGGAAGTAAAATCTTTTCAACAAATGTTGTGGATAAGCACTGGGTGTTGTATGTAAGTGATGAATCACTAAATTCTACACCTGAAACTAATACTGCACTGTAAATTAACTGTTATTAAAATGAAAACTTGAGGGCACCTGGGTGGCTCAGTCATTAAGTGTCTCCCTTTGGCTCAGGTCATGATCCCAGTGTCCTGGGATTGAGCCGCACATCAGGCTCCCTGCTCAGCAGGAGGTCTGCTTCTCCCTCTCCCACTCCTCCTGCTTACATTCCTGCTCTCTCTCTGTCAAATAAATAAATAAAATAAGACTAAAATAAATAAAATGAAATGAAAACTTGAAAAGAAAAAATGAAAATTATAAAATTTCAAGGAGATTTCATATATATATATATATACACATACACATATATATAGGGGTGCCTGGGTGGCTCAGTGGGTTAAAGCCTCTGCCTTCAGCTCAGGTCATGTTCCCAAGGTCCTGGGATCGAGCCCTGCATCGGGTTCTCTGCTCAGCGGGGAGCCTGTTTCCTCCTTTCTCTGCCTACCTCTCTGCCTACTTGTGACTGTCTGTCAAATAAATTTAAAAAAAATATATATATATATATTATATATACACATTATATATACCACACATTACATAAAGTAGGCCAGAGATTTCTTCGAATACCAAAAGCATGATCCATAAAAGAAGAAATTGATGAAGTGTAATTCATCAGGATAATTTCTACTCTTTGGAGAGAAAAAAAAGATAAATCATAGACTTCAGAGGATATATTTACAAATAATACATCTAATAAAAGACTTGCTGCCAGGATACTACAAATCAGATACTACAAATCTAATACTACAAATCAGACTTCCTGTTCTGGAAAGATAAAGAAGAAAAACTTTTTGCTATTCCTCCTACCAAACAGAGCTAAAACCCTTGGACATTACATACAGGACAACATAGACTCAGAAGGATGATGAGAAAGCTGACAGAACTCAGCAGTCCGGGCATGAGGAATGACATGGCTGTGAGCGCCCTGGAATATGTCTTTCCCTCACATGTCCCAGACTGGTGCCAGAGAGGTTGGCAACCCACAGACACCAATGGGGACAGACAAAAGTCCCAAACATATTTTTTCTCTCCAGTCAAAATAACAAGGAAAAGACATGCTAGGAAAATGGAAAATTTTTAGTCACTGAATGCATTATTCTAATCAAAAACCTTTGACTAGCCAACAAAAATATCACTCAGGAATGCTGGGGAAATAAAGACATTCTGCGATAAAGGAGAACTATGAAAATGTGTCACCACCAGACCTGCTCTGAAAGAATTGATAAAGGGGATTATCTAAAGAGAAATTAAAAAATAAAAGGAGGAATCTTGGATCATCAAGAAGAAAGAGAACAAAAGAAAGATTAAAACTATCATTAGCTTTAATGGACTTCCTTTCGCCTCTGTGTCATAAATTATTTGATAGTTGAAGCAAAATATTAATATCCATGTGATTCTCAATGTAAGTAGAGAAATATTTAGGAAGATTATAAATAGGACACAGTAAAGGAAGGTAAGTTTCTATATTTTACTTCAAATGCTATGGGTTGTGATAGACTGTAGACTGTGATATATGTGTATATGATTATCTATATAAAGATATTTAATACCTGTATTATTTATATAAAGTAGATTAGAGCATATGTGACATATATATAAAGTCATATATGAATAAAAGATCTACTTTGGTATAAATTATACTCTACAATTAGGTAATGATGTAGAAAAGTGTAGTCTTTAATTTTATCTCACAGCATCACAAACAGAGCATCACAAAAAATAAATTCCCAAATGGTCATAAACTCTATTTAAGGGTTAAAAATAAAAAAGAATAAAGAAATAAAGAAAAACATATAAATCCTAGAGAATAAGATAGGAAATTATATTCATGCACTTTGACTAACTTCTGAAATAGGTCCAAAACAATCACCAAAATTGTAAATTGAACTAGAGTAACATTAATAAATTTTCTCATTAAAAGAATCCAATTTCAGAGTAAAAATGCAAGTCACAGAGTAAAAAATCTATTTGCATCTTATAAACTCAGAAATGAGCTCATATCCAAAATATGACAAGGACTGGAAACATTTGAAATCTTACCAGGTCCTCTTCATCTATGGAGAGCAGGGTAGAGTTCTTGGAAGCACAGAACATCAAACTCTCATTCCATGGTTTTCTTTCAAGGCTAATGTAATAGCAATTGTTGGAGTATGTAATCCACTCTTTTGGACAATGACCACAGAGATAAACTAAAGAAAGATTATGAGATATCATCCAAAAGAATCTTGAATATTAACAAATTCAAATTATGCTTACACACACTCAACAGAGAATGGTTAGCCTATCATTCTCTAAATTATGTGTTCATATAAAGCAAATACACAAGAATATTCATCTCTACATGTCTTGAGAGTCACTGAAGGAAGTCACTATTTTAGAATAGTAAAATGATTTATCTCTTATGTTATAGCAAGAGGAAATTTGAGGCAATTGGTAATAATGGATATGTGGATTTAAATTATTATTTCTTCAGATTATTGTATTAGAAGAGGCAGTCTCCTATAATCATTACTTCTGAAAGTTTATTAGATGATTTTCTTTTTTTTTTTTAAGATTTTATTTATTTATTTGACAGACAGAGATCACAGTAGGCAGAGAAGCAAGCAGAGAGAGAGAGGAGGAAGCAGGCTCCCTGCTGAGCAGAGAGCCTGATGCGGGGCTCAATCCCAGGACCCTGGGATCATGACCTGAGCCGAAGGCAGAGGCTTTAACCCACTGAGCCACCCAGGTGCCCCTATTAGATGATTTTCTGATTTATTTTCCCCAAAAGAATCTATTATCATCTTTTCCTAGCCTAAGATAGAGATAAAATAGAAACTATAATAATATTAGAATTTTTAAAATGATGCTGTACCTTTTGAGATCCTTGTTTCCTGGGATGTTTGGTTCTGCTCTGGTCCTTTAGTAACTAGAAAAATTAAAGCAATCTTCATACATACTTAATATTAAACTAAATAAATCATAATGATTTGAGTTTTTTAGTTTGAAATTTGGTGTGTTGTTTAGAATTTAGAAAATTCCATAATAAAATGGATTTTAGCCCATTAAGTAGGTAATGAACATGTGGGGAAAATGTTTCAAAAGCCTAAAGAACCAAATCTCACCATTTCTTATAATACTTGGTTTATGCAATCTCAAGAATTAATTTGTGTATTTCTCAATAAGGTCTCCGCTATAACTTGTCTTTGAGTTATGAAATCTGAACAAATTTTAATACTCTCTACATTACTGTTATTTCTAATGTCACAAAAGGAAAATAAGCTTTCCAAACTTAGAGCATATATGCATTAAAATGAGATAATTCAATTCCATAATGTTACACAGTATTTCCAGGCACTGATGATCATTAAAGTGAAAAATTCCCTTGTAGACGTTCAAACATTACTCACAGGGAATAACAGCTATTGTGACCACAGTGGACATCAAGACAAAGCAGATGATTCCCAGGATGCCAGCAATGAGCTTCCCTGGACATGAAGATAAGTAGTAGGAAGAGAATTGAAAACACTGAGAAAGGACGGGCAGTAACAATCCTTTAAGAAAATAATATACAAGAGAACCAACGATGTTCAGGGAATCACATATGAAACTTGCACCCCAATCCATATCTACCATTATAATCTTTTCTCAAAATATACCACTGCAGTTGCAGTAAATATATTACCCTAATAGATATGGGAAAGACAATCAGTTAGCAATGGCTGAACAAATTTGGTCCTCAGATTTCCATTACAATACCATATTCCAGCTGCACACACAGATCCTCACAAATGAAAAATATGGGAGATCATTCCCTACTCATTCTCAACACCCCTGCACCCCAACTGCATATAATAGCACACTTATATCGAGTATGTATTAAATGTTTTACCTTTACAGGGGGTTTTCTTGTTGTTCCCTTGAAGATACTGAGAAGCATTTTCAAGATTTAATTCTGCATATGTTATTTCCTGCTCAATTTTTGAAGTGGAGCTTTTAGTGCCCTTAGCTTTCGTTTGCTGTCTTTTTGAATTCTTGACGATAGCAAGTTCTGCATAGGTAACTCCTCGGTTATTCATCTCTGCAGCTGCGTGGTGTCAGGCACAGGGCTGAATGGGACTGTACTGAAGGGCTTAATGAATAGTGTATGCAATGACAAGATTGCTGGGACAGTCACATTGAGTGGAGTGTGGGGTGAGTGAGTTCATTTGCATTTGAAGGTGTAAAATCTGGTACTGGCTTCCTTAGGGCTTTGAAGAAGTGTTTTATGATAGAATAAGGGGTTTTATAACGCTATTCTATGTTTGACACAATAGTATTTGTTGAAATAAGATAAAGCAATAAATGTGTGGAGAAGAAAGGAATTCATGAATAATATTGTCCTTATTAATGTAAGGTCAGATTCCACAGAACCATGTCAACACTATTAGGATAACTGGTTTAAAATTAAAATGCTGCATTAGAAAAAAAATGGTGCATCTACTTTTTCCACAATTTTTAAGTCCATATTAGTTAAAAATGGAGTGCTCTGAGATTGGGGAATACTAGTTGTAGCACAAATAGGAATTTCCTGTAGTAAATGACTTTTATTTAAACGTACATTTCTTTACTAAAAGGTAATGCAGTGCTATCAAGTGAATTTTTATCTTGAATAATTGTATAGTTCTGAGAAATCGTTAAATTTCAAAAGAAAGACTTGAAAAATGTCACATGACACATTAAATTTATCGGAAACCTGAACAACATTGAAAACAAAGACCAAACTATATTTTTTTAAAAGTACTTATATAACACCAGAAATTGACAACTGATTTAATGACAAAGATATGAAATCATAAAATGATAAATAGAAGTGTAGATTAGTTACGGAAGAACACTGTTGGTACAAACCACAGAAAGTTCTATGAATGTCAAAGACAGTAAGGGTAGCTTTAGCTGTATAAAGAATTCTAATAAATCAAATCAATATAATTTCATAATTCAATGAGCTCTGTAGTTAGTGCAATCTGGAACTACTCATGGCTCTGAAACTTACAATATATGACCTCTAAAAATTACTTCCTATCTAGCTACCTAGTTTTTACTGATCTAAAATGAGAATTAAAATATGTAAAATATAATGCCTATAAAGCACTTAATACTCCATGTAGCTTTTCTAAGCTCTCAATAATATACAGTTATTTTAATTATTTGTAACACAATAGCCACTTTATCATTACTGATTCATATTCTTTAGACCAGATAACATAATTCATTAGATGGGAGTGTCTTTCAGTATTGAGTATCATTTTTGCCAAGCTTTGTTTTGAATATTTATACTTAAATTTAAATTAGGATTTTACACAAATCTTGCTTTTTATAAAAAATCAAAATTGCTTTCCTTCATGTAAGCAAATGTATGAGGAATTACATTCGACCATCATGATTTGATGGATTCACTTTAAGAATCTTTTTTTAAAGACTCAGCTAAATATACAAAATATATTTAATTATATCTATAACTGATGACAAATCCAAATTGAGTTTCCTAGTTTTGATGCTTATGGGATCTCACTTGAATTTTATTGATTTGCAAACATCCAAGAATTTGGATATTTTAAGAAGTTCTCCAATATATTTCAAATGAATTTTTGTTTGTCACCCTGAATTGTTGGAATAAAGGTACTAATGTTCTCTGTGATTTGTCTGCATATTAGTTGTGCCTCAGGTGCCTCCCGTCTCCCACTAAGTGAAGTGCTAGGAGAGAGACAATGGAGGAGTGACACATACCTTCTGCTGGCCAGAAAGTCACGCATCTTCCCCTGGGAGACCAGGTTACTCTTGTAAACAGAATCTGTGGTCTTCACAGACTGTCAGCCCTGTGAGAGCTCAGAGTGAGGCAATAGTGGAAAAAGATTTCTCATCAATGTGTCACTTAAAATTTGAACAGGAAATTCTTACACTGGGCTATTTTGAAGACTCTTTATCTCGTCACACACCTCTAGAGGGTCCGACACTTTCAGCTTATAATACGTCATTTACTTTGTCCCTTGGTAAGTACCTCTGAGATGTTATTATGTTCCACAAGATATTGGGGTCAAAGACTTGACCATCTGGGCTGTTAACTTGCTTCCCTCTGACTCACAAACACTGAGAACCTAGGCCTTGTGAAAAATGTCTTAGATGTTCAAGTTCTACTTTTGGATGAGGTTGCTAAATCTTGACGTTACATACTCCTTTCTTTTATGCTCTTGCTATGTTACATCTATTACACTGAAAATATTTTAAAATCATAATCCCAATAACAAGTATTTAGTGGTACTTGACACAAATTTTGAAGACTTGCTATAATCAGTTTTTTGTCACTCACAAATATATCAATTCCATACTTTTTAATTTTTCTGCCTTAGTTTTTAATATACCTGCAATTAGTTTTTGTTATTTGTTAGTAAGTTATTTAGGTTTCTAATGAAAAAAACTAAATGCCTGTGGGAAGAATACAACACTGAACAAAATTGAACAATATCACCATGCCAGAGATTTGAGTATTAAATAATTATTAATATATTGGTTATTAATCCTCCAATGATAACTAGTCACTTATATTTTAATAAGAATGTTTTATAAATGAAAAATCCCTAAGGTTAACTATGTCAGGGGAAAAATTGAATGTAATTTTTGAAACTTACACTTAAGTGAAAAAATGGGGAGAGGCCAGAGAAAGAAATTTTAAATGACATGTGAAGTACAATTCAGTGTTATTAACTATATTTTGTATGCTGTATTTTATATCCCTGTGACTTTTTTTTCTAACTGAAAGATTATACCACATACTTCCTTTCACTCATTTCAACCCCACCCCATCCTCACCATGGCAATCACTTTTGTCTTTCTCTATATAGTCTGTTTCTGGTTTTTTGTTTGTTTGTTTTTAAATTCTACATTATCAGTTAAATCATACATTACTTGCCTTTCTCTAATTTCATTTAGCATGAAATCCACTAGGTCCATCGATATTATCAAAATGACAAAAAAATTCATTCCTTTTCATTGCTATGTAGTATTTCTGTGTGTGTGTGTAGCTTCCATTTATTCATGCATCTATAGATGGACACGTGGGTTGCTTCCATATCACGGCTATTGTAAGTAATACTGCAATAAACATAGGGTGGATGTTTTCATTTTCTTCAAGTAGAAACTCTCAATGAATTTTCTGGATGTTTTGGCATTTCCATTTTTAATTTTTTGAGAAACCTCCATACTCATCCATTGTGACTACACCAATGTAAATTTCCCACCAACAGTACACAAAGGTACCCTTTTCTCCACATTCTCACCTATGTTTGTTATTTTGTTTTTTGTTTTTGTTTTTTTTTTAAATTCTGACCTGTGTGAGGTGATGCCTCATTGTGGCTTTGATTTTCATTTTCCTGATGATTAGTGATGTTCTGTATATCTTCTTTTTTTTTTTTTTAAAGATTTTGTTTATTAATTTGAAAGAGAGAGAGTGAGAGAGAGCATGAGAGGGAAGGTCAGAGGGAGAAGCAGACTCCTAATGGAGCTGCGAGCCTGATGCGGGACTTGATCCCAGCACTCTGGGATTATGACCTAAGCTGAAGACGGTCGCTTAACCAACTGAGCCACCCAGGTGTCCCTGTATATCTTTTTTCAAAGGATATCTATTCAGGTCCTTGGCCCATTTTTTAATCTCTTGTTTGTGTTCTTTTGGTGTTGAGATGTAGGAGTTCTTTATATACATTGGATATTAACCCCTTGTTGGGTATATCATTTGCAAATATCATTGTCTATTCAGATGGCTGCCTTTTTCTTTTGTTGATGGTTTTCTTGGCTGCATAAAAGATTTGTAGTTTTATGTATTGTTTATTTTTTATTTTGTGGTCCTTCCCTGAGAAGACACACCCGAAAGAATAAAGACCAAGGGTTTGTTGCCTATCCTGTCTTTAACATATTTATGGTCTTGGGCCTTATATCTAATTCTTTAATTTATTTTAGGTTTATTTTTGTGTATGGTATAAAAAAGTATTTTCATAAGGGTTACATTTAAGCCATTGGTCATTTTGTATAATGTGGATATTTTCTCAATATTAATTCTTCGGTTGATAAGTATGGTATATCTTCCATTTACTGATTTTTGTCATTTTTGAGTTTCTTTTATCAATGTCTTATAGTTTTTAAAGTATAGGACTTGCACCCCCTTGGTTATATTTAGTGTTAAGTAATTTATTTTTATAAATGCAATTATAGATGGAGTTGTTTTCTTTTCTTTTTTTTTTTTTAAGATTTTATGTATTTATTTGAGAGACAGAGATAGCAAGAGAGAGCACACATGGGGGTAGGGGAAGAGAAAAAGGGAGAAGCAGGCTCCCTGCTTAGCAGGGCTTGATCCCAGGATCCTAGGATTCTGACCTGACACCAAAGCAGACTCTTAATTGACTGAGCCACCCAGGCTCTCCTGGGATTGCTTTCTTAATTTCACTTTCTCATAGTTTTTTACTAGTGTACAGAAATGCAGTGGATTTCTGCATATTAATTTTGTATCCTGCTACTTCATTCAATTTTCATTTATTAGTTCTAATAATAGTATTTTTGGTGGAGTTTGGGTTTTTCTCTCTAGAAAATCATGTCATCTGAAAATAATGACAGCTTTACATTTTCCTTATCAATTTGGATGTCTTGTTTTTTGTTTTTTGTTTTCAGATTACTGTGGCTAGGATCTCCAGTACTGTGTTGAATAATAGCAGTAGGAGTGGACATCCTTGTCTTCATGCTGATCTTAAAGGAAAATGTTTTAGCTTTTTGCTGTTGAGAATGATGTTAGTTGTAGGCTTGTAGTTCGTGGCCTTTATTATGTGGAGGTATATTCTCTTTCTACACACCAATGGGAGTTGTTCTCATAAATGTATCTTTACTTTTGTCAGTGTTTTTGCTGCATGTATTGAGATTAACATATGATTACTTTCAATTATTTAATGTGATGTGTCAAGTTGATTGATCTACATATACTGAAACAGCCTTGCATATATGGAATAAATCCCATGTTATCATGGTATATGATACTTTTATTGTACTATGGGATTCATTTTGCTAATATCTTGGTGAGAATTTTTACATGTTCATCAGGGATGCTGACCTGTAATATTCTTTGTATATGTGTGTGGGGGGGGTATATTTGTGTTTGTGTGTATTGTGTCCCTATTTGGTTTTGGTATCAGGATAATGCTGTCTACACAGA